CTCCCATCACTCCATCACCGATACACCCAAGGCTACCTCTCTTGCGCAGACTTCACCACCATTTACAACAAGCTCCGCGATCTTGACCCAGTCCTCGACTACTCCATCCACGACAACCTCCTCTACATCGACACCAAAGGCACTCGCTGATTGTGCATCCCTGACACGCATGGTCTCCGTACCCAGCTCTTGGCCGAGCACCACGACGCCAAGACCGCAGGTCACCTCGGTTTCCAGAAAACCTTTGACACCATCTCCGGCTACTTCTATTGGCTGTCTCTACTTGCCGACGCCAAAACATACATTCACTCATGTCCCATGTGTCAGGCTGTCAATCCCTCGAACCGGGCCAAACCCTGCAAGCTCCAATCTTTGCCCATCCCAACTCACCGGTGGCAGTCCATTTCCATGGACTTCATGTGCGGTCTCCCGAAGACCGACCGCGGGCATAATTGCGTCTACGTCATTGTCTGGCGCCTGACCAAGCGCGCCCACTTCATTCCTTGCACCACCTCGCACACCGCCAAAGACATCGCCTTACTCTTCTTCGACCATGTTGCACGCCACCACGGCCTCCCCAAGAATATCATCAGCGATCGCGATCCCCGTTTCCTCTCACAGTTCTGGAAACAACTCTTCAACGCCTACGGAACTACACTCAAGTATAGCACTGCATTCCACCCACAGACCGATGGACAAACCGAGAAGATGAACGGTACTCTCCAAAGAATCCTACGGAAGTACTATCATCCACATCAACACGACTGGGATCAGTTGCTCACCGCTGCCGAGATCGCCTACAACAACGTTGTCTGTCCTTCCACTGACATGTCTCCATTTTACCTTGACCTTGGCTACCATCCTCGCTTGCCCTCTGATTTCCTGCTTCCCTCGCAACTCAACCCCTCCACACCCTGCCCTTCCCTCAATGAATGGGTAGCAACAATGAATCGACTCCTCAGAGAAGCAACCGAAGCCCTCGAAAGAACACAAGAACAACAAGCAAACAAGACCAACAAACACAGACGAGACTTGCAACTCAAAGTAGGGGACAAAGTCTGGCTCTCCGCCAAACGCATTGAACCCGAACATGGATTGTCAAAGAAACTCTCGAACAAATGGCTCGGACCCTTAGCCATCATTGAAAAAACCTTCGACGTCAACTACAAACTCCAACTTTCCCCCGAGATGAGCCGCGTCCACCAGGTCTTCCACGTTGAATACTTGAAAGAATATCATGAATCCCCACCCCAATTCACTGACCGCCCATATCCTAGGCTTTCACCTATCATGTTACCCACAGACCCTGAATTCGTTGTTGAAGTAATCATAGGTCGCCAAACTACTCAAGTATCTGACCACCCGGAAGCAATCACTGAATACAAAGTCAAATGGACTGGATACCCCGACGAAGAATCTACATGGGAACCTCTCTCGAATCTCAAGAATGCCATGAAACTTGTCCACGCCTATGATCGTGCTACTCCTATGTCCTAGACACCCACGTAACTACAACCCTAAACCCCTGTACAAACCTTGCTACAACCTCGCAACCCCGTTCTACACACACCCTTGAACCCAGTCCACCCTCCCCTCGACCCTAATTCCTGATGTCTGATCTGCCCTTGCCCTCTACCAGCCTTGTCCCATCTGTCCTCTCCACTACCTTGTCTCTCTCGTCCAATGCTTATGAACCTGCGTGACGCCGGCGATGAAGGATCTAATGGCAAGCACACGAGGACGATGGCCTGCTGCCTCACTGTTCATGGAGATTATGCAGCCGGTTTGGCCACCATGCTGTTTCATTGGCCGTCATCCCAACTCGCGGACTTACTGGAGCAGCAACTTGTGACATGGATCAGTCTGCGACTTACTTGCTTCCAGATCAGACCTCATTGCAGTTCGTGTACCGGACGCACCCTAGCACTTGGACTTTGGACATTTGAACTACTGTTACACTTCTTGGACTTCTACCTGTCGCAGTCGCTGAAGACCGCTTCTACCACCTACTCCAAGACCTGATCAAAACCGCTGCAGATCCCCTTTCAAGACACTTGGACACTTTGTTCCTGCATGAGATTCTGCTTCCGACTCCTTCGGACACACCAGCCCTTGCCTCCTGAACAAACATTTTCATTTTTATTTTTTTTCCTGACTTTGACAACCCTGTAGAACATCATTAGCAGATCCCTGTTTCCCTGACCATTGTTCCCCTTACCCACTAGAACATCAATAGAAACTCCCTGTTCCCCTGACCATTGTTTCCCTTACCCACTAGAACATCAATAGAAATTCCCTGTTTTCCTGAACATCGTTTCCCCTACCCAGTAGAACATCAATAAAAATCCCCTGTTCCCTGAACATTGCTTAGCTTCCCCTATAGACCCACCCAGTCACATCATACCTTCACCTGTGCAGAACACCAGACAGAATACCCTGTGACTTGCATCACTCCCCTTCTCCTTCTTCGACCAGTGATCGGCCCCATCCCGTCCTTCACAACTCTTTTTGTTTCCTTGGCTTTTTGGCAGCCGGGACGTTGCCTTTCAGAGGGAGGGGAGAGTGTTACGGACTCCGCCAGGGCTCAAGCCCTGGTCTATCTTTTTGCTGTTTCTGCTGCCTCCCGTTTTCGGCCTGGCACCCTTTTATTTTTCCAAACCTCTCCTTTGGTACGGTCGGATTTTGGACAACTGGCACCATGCTGCAATTCGGGCGCCACTTTCAAATACTGCATCTTTCAGTTCTGCCCTCGGGGCTTTTGTGGAAATGCCCCTGGTACCGTACGTGTCACCGGTACTTGTACCGGCTCCCCGTACAGTACGGGGACCAGTCTCGTACCAGTTTTCTGCTGCTGTACTCGTACTCAGGTGACTTGCTGTTTCGGCATTCGGAATCCAAGACTTCAACTTTGTGCCTTGCCACTGTGTCTGCGTCCGACCCTCAGTTGTGTCCAGTGAGTGAGTGTGTGTGTGTGTGCTCTCACTCTCTCCCTCTCTCCTCTCCCTCGGCTCTCCCTCAGCCTCACACTCGTCACAAGTTTCCTGTGTGTTACACATTCTGATGCATGCTTGTAGAGATTTCTTACCCGTTTCCTAAAGTTGGGGCCCACCAGCATATATTCCCTACTAGCAAATGTTGCATACCCCGACGGTCGGCGGCCCTTGACTGGTCAGATGCCGACCAGCCGACCGGTTGGCTCGTCGGCACCTACAGGTCGGGGGTCGTCGGCAACCCAAAAAAAAAAAAGATTTTTTTTTTTTTTTTTTTTGGGGTCCAGAACCCCTGATAACCCCACCAACATTCCGATACCCGCCCCCAATACTCCCATACACCCCTTCAACACCCCAAAACCGCCCCCAACCACCCTCATACCCCCCCACAGTACCCTATATCCCGCTATACCACCACCCAACTGCCGCATACCCCCCGTCATCCCAAAAGTTTCTCAGCGGATTTGGGCTGTACTCAGCAAGCGCAGTACAGTCCCCCAACTCAGATTTGAAAAAGTGTACGGCTATTTTCTGACTGGTCAGTAGACCGCCGAGCAGTCGGCCCTACTGGTCAGCTGCAAAACGGTCGGCGGTATGGGTCGGCGGTCGGCAGGTATGCAACCCTGCTACTAGCGTTTAAGACAGCCTGGTTTACTGGATGGTACACTTCTTGAGAATAAAAAACCGAATGCCTTCTTTCACCCTCTCTATCGCCTTCTTTGCGGCCTCACTTACGACTGAGTATGTCACAACGTTATCTGGGATTCCTCTTCCTGGGATGAGCCGCACCTGGTTAATATGAAAGCATTTGCCATGGCCCTAAAGCTTTTGCTAGGATCTCGTAGGGGATCCTCAGGAAGGAGATTGGGTCTGCAAATACCTTATGTCTTCTTTTAATCCTTTATTTGTAGAGAAACGTAACTACACCTGTACTAAGGAACTCACCCTTGCCACCTTTCTCCGAACTATGCCTAACAGCATCCCTAAAAGAAGCCTTTTCATGGTCTGACTGGCGAACCGTATTTCCTGTTTCGAAATTGGTCTTTCTGAATCTTTGGCTTGCTCTAGTAGAGATCGTTCTAAGTATCAGAGCATCCTTTCCCTGGCTTCTCTGTGCTGCAGCATTGAGGTTTCATTTCGGAGTTCTGGGGACCGTTTTGGGGACAGTTCTGGATTTTTCTTTCCTTTAGAAGTTTGTAAAGATATCCCTGAATGGCAAAAGCCCTTCACGAGTGCGAGTATCTTGTGGCATAAGACCAGTAACAACGGTTACAAGTTACAACGGTTAATACTCGCTGTTGCATCAGCAGTAAACCAATTGGTTCACGGATGCAGAAAATGCGCATCCAAACAGACCGGAGCCAGGAGATATGTCCCGAGTGCGTAGTCCCGAGTGCGTACTTCAGAAGACTTGCACTGCATGCTACGCTTCTCCGAGGCAAAATGATAGTGGCAGAGGGCCCTTGGCTTGTGCTCTTCTATCATCATCCCTCCGCTGCCTTCCTCCCGTTCATTCTCTCTCTTCCTTCTCCCCCCCCCTTGCCACCCTCCTGCGCAGCCCCCCCTTACTCGATTAACTTCTCCTTATCCACTTGCGAGTCGAGACGTTGAAAACTAGGGGCTAACATCCTCTCACCCACTTGCAAAGCTGGCAAATTGTGGTTCGAATCTGTTCGATATATCAGAAATGTAACAATATTGATGCCATGGAAATAAACTTCAATAAAACAGTGGACAAAGAAGCAAGATCGATATCAAGAAAGGACCTCATGGGCATGAATCAAGAGTGACAAGTGTTCACAGTGATGTTACAGGCAGGCAGGGTTCTCAGACTGATTTTGGAGCTGAGAATTGCATTGCTGACCGTTTTGGGCTCATGAATAATACCGTGGAATGACTGAATGTTGATCCAGTCATGCAACATTCTTTGAATTTATAAACTGTATATGTGACTGACTGGCATTGGTTGATGGCATGGGTTGATAATGGATGCTGTACCTTGTGCAACAGCATGGTGTGTTGGTGATGGTATTCACATTGGTGGTGAGGAAAGGTGGACGATGGCTATCGCGGAATTCACGAAACAAGTACATGCCGGCCGAGCAGAGTTTCAGACAGTCCTAATGAAAGCAGTAATTGAAATGGAGAAGAAATGTCGCGCTGATGGGGGGCAGAACTTTCAGATGTGGGCAAAACTCCTGGCGGTTCTTGGGCTCTTGCTGTTGTCTACGCACTCGCTGAAGGTGCTCTCACGCTTGGATATAAGTCCGGCTGAAATGTTGCGAACAATTATTACACCCCTGGTAAGCCATCTTGTGCCTCTTTTCGAGTCCCTCAATTTTCCTGTATTATCTAATGAGCATAAGGACCAGGTAACGATAACATCAAACCGAGAAGCCAAATGACCAACAGATAAGCGAAAAGAAGGTCAACTGTCGTGAACCAATGGGCGTATGGCTCAATCCACAGTAAAAGGTCGTCGGTGCGCAAACCTGAGAGTACACCTGAAGCAATTGCAAAAAGTATTGGTTCAGTGTCCCACAAGGATGAACATGACGGCGATTGAGGAGGAGGAAGAAAGACTGCGGCAGACGACGGCCATAATGATCTGGAAGAAGAATATGGAGGTGTGATTGCACCATAGCCACTGGCCCTCTAGATTGTAGCTGTGGGTGAGGAAAGTACTTACCATGCATAAGACTACTCCAGTAAAAAGACAAGATGTTTTTCAACAAAATATGATAGATTTTCAAAAGACGAAAGCAAGCAGGTTATGAAAGGGCCTTTTTCACCCAATGTAGGCCTCAGGCCTTGTAACTAAGCAACGTGGGCCATGTAAAAGTAAAGCAGCCTGAAAAGGTATCTCGCCAGGGCTCAGAAACGTGAAAAGCAGGTCAAGAGTCCAAGTTCTCTACCAACGGGCACATCCTGAAGCAAAGGGCATTGTCAAAAGACTTACCTGTTCGCCAGCAGTTGTGTAGGTCATGAATAAGGTGTGTCTGTACGAGCAGCCATTGTGCCTRTTCGTGAACAGAGGAAAGGTTGTGTCTGTATGTACAAAGCTGATGTCTGTTCGGACAGTAAGTGTGTCTGTTCGTCTAAGATGTGACCTTTCAAAAGGAAGTCAACAGTCATGTCCCAGTGGCTGGTCTGAGTCGTAGGGGCAGTCCAGATCCAGACTTCAAAATTCGTATCCAGGCCAAAGGGCCTCCACAGCAGTTGCTTTTCATTGGGAATGCTCTGGGACACATGCAATGCAGGGTCTGGGACAAGAGGACAGGCCGAATTGAGACAATGCAGACCCAACGGGGAG